AGAAGTTACAGGCCAAATTAGACAAAATGGTTTGGATATTATTGATCCTCGTCTCAAGACGAAGAGAATGACATTGGTCCCGCCGGAATCGGAAAAAGTTCATTTTCCGGCGACTTTGACCGGCGGGCGGCGGCGGCGGGGCGTGGAAGAAAAGAAAAGAAGAAATGGGGTCAAATTGAAAATTTTAAAATATATAAAATTCGAATTTGGCCCTAATGACCGGAAGTTAACCTAGAAACGGGCTAATGGCTCATTAGTGAAAGGATTGTGTAAGTTCAGGGATTTTTGTGAAAGGATTTGAAGTTCAGGTACTACTTCGAAATTCCAGCTAAAGTTCAGGTACCATTTGTGAAATTTACCCAAGTTTGGGGTCAGTTATTCCCACTATAGTGAGATTATGAGTAAGTTATTACTAGTGGAAGTTAGAGCTTTTCTACTTGGGAGGTACCCCGACTTTGAGACTTGTAAGAAAAAGGTACCTTATCTTCAATTTTTAACAAAAGGACCCCATCTTTAAAAAATATAACAAAGGGGTACCCCTTGCTAGAATTTTGAGAATTCAGCCGGTGAGTGCACATGTGGCATTCCACTTGGCTTCCTAGTGTATATGTGTAATTTCATGTTGCTTCCAAATTAACTTGTAACTTATCCTGTACTTGATTAACTTTGTATTTGACACATATAAAGTCAAATTTTAAACTTTTTTAAACACTTTATTTCATCTATGGATATATATTATTTCTTTTAATGTTGGTAGATTTCAAACTTTTTTTTATTTTAACCTTTTGGTTCCTAGAAGAATTTTTATTTAATTTTAGTATTTTGAATTTTTTTCTAATTTACAATATATTTTTAAACCAAAGTAGCAGTGCCTTTTTAATAATTGTCTATATTGTAATTTTAAAGATCAAAATTTCTTATTTATTTAAATTTTAAAATACTTATAATCTTTTAATTTTAAATTTATCTATTTATCTTTTAAATAGATAAATAAACACGATGTTGCATGAACGTATCTTTTAAAATGATACTCAGATGACTTATAAAAATTCATTACACGTTACAATAATACCCTGATAGTAACAATAATGATAGTAGTCGTACGAGTAATAATAATAAAAATACGTATTTATTATAATTTAAATTTAAAAATTCCAAATAAATCTTTAAGATTACATTATACGGAGTAGACAATTGTTTAAGAGTTATTGCTACTTTTTTTAAAATATATTTTAAATTATAAAATTTTTAAAATACTAAAATTAAAATAAAAAAATCTTCTAGGAAGCACAGAATAAAATAAAATTAAAATATAATTTCATTAGAGGAAAAAAATATTTTGTATGATTAAAATATAATATTATAAAATGTTATAAATTATAAAATGGAAACAGCCGCTCTATGTTTTAATCATGGGGGTCACACTGCGTACATCCAACCCCCCTTACCCCGTAATGGGCGGGAGCCGTTGAGGCACTGGGGTAATGTTGTTGATGTTATTATAAAATGTTAAAAATTTAACTTTATATGTGTCAAGTACAAAGCTAATCAAGTATGGGATAAGTTACAAGTTAATTTAGAAGCCATATGGAATGCCACATGTACACTAGGAAGCCAAGTGAAATGCCACATGTGCACTCACCGACCGGATTCTCAGAGTTCCAGAAAGGGTGATCTCTTGTTACATTTTTTTTTACAGATGAGGTAGCTTGGTCTACTCGGCTCTCCTTGGCTTTATTAGTTATGTAGTATATGAGTTTTAGATTCTTACTCGTATTTTGGATATAGATTTTCCTTCATCCTTTTTTACAATATAATTTTACATAGTAGGGTATGGGGTCTGGGGATTTTGTGTACCCAGAACTTGCCTTACTCGAAAGTAGAGAGGTTGTTTCCTAGAGACCCGTGACTTAAGCGGCATAGATGATAAAAGAGCGTAAGAGATACATAAAGCAGATAAGGCACATATAAAATACAAAGGACACAGAGGCAAATAAGAAACAAATGGTAACCAAGGAAAAGTACTGCAAATAGAATCGCCAAGCATACAAGCCATACCAGGCACACAAGTATAGAAATATACCACCTAGCCCAAAGCGTTTACCCAACTAGTCTAATCCTAATTCTCCAAACGCTCGTATCTAAGGTCATATACTCAGTAAGGAAGTCTTGAGTCTTGTGTAATAACCTCTTCCCAATTCTTCTTAGGTCTACCCCTTCCCTTATTCCTACCCACTAACGTAAGCCTCTCGCATCTCTGCATCCCCTATGTTATAAAATATTATTTATAGAATTTACTCTTTTTTTTCTGAGATAGAAGTTTTTGGGCTTAAAAAGCTGTTTGACTCTAGACAAACAGCTATTCGAAAAGTTCGGTATAGAGCTTTTTTTTTGGAGAGCTTTTGGTGCTAAAAAGCTAGTTCAAAAAACTTATTTTCAAGCTTTTTGGAGCAGCTGCTTAGAGTTTTTTCTTTAGATTGGTTAACAAAAAGCATATGTTTCAACTTTCAAGCTATTTGGAAAAGTGGACACAAACAGTTCACAACTCAGCCAATGTGTTTTTAGGCTCTACTGAAAAACAACCATTAAATCATTAATAACCACTATTCTCCACTTGATATCTGCATATTCTTTTTTGTTTATGTAATCCCTTCCAATAATGAGTGCAGAGATTCATCAAATATCAGCTTTACATCTCGCTGACCAAACCCGAAGCAACAGCAGCTAATGTTTTCAGCTCCGCTTCCTTGGAACAGTTCTTCGGGTGTGTTTAATGCGTAACCAGCCAAAAGATAAAGAGAGCAAAAGAAAGAATGAAAGAGAATGGTTTCAATGCATTTTCTTCCCACTTGTTTTAGGGCATATCTCTATGGGCATTAAGAGTTTGTTGAGGGAGATATTGTAAAAATGGTACTGGGTATTAGTCTGATGACAGTGTTTGATTATAATTCATGTGTATGGAGTGTTTGTTGAACATTAAAAGGCCATATCTTTGTATTTGTTGAATGAATGACATCTATATTAATGGACTCAGATTTCAGATTTGTTGTAAAGTTGAGATATGCATACACAAGAAATTGAAGACAAATGATTAAAAAAAAGATGACAATCCCGACAATTATGTCACATCTTTGTTTTTGAATGCTATTGACTCAGTTACAAAGTATCTTTGTTTTTTGTGCAAAAAAATGTTACATCTTTATTTTATAAATTTTATTTTAAAATTTTATATCTTTATTTCAAAAAATTAGATTCAAAACAACTTTTGCCAATAATCATTATCCATTTTGTGACGAAAAGAGCATAGATTAATAAATAGAAAAAAACTAAAGTAGAAGTAAAATATTAAAAATATATCAAAATACAAGTTCGATGTTATTATTTCTGAAATTCTATCCTATCCTATCCTATATATTTATAAATAAGATTCCAAGCTCTAAGGAGATGACATGTGACATTGCTAGGAGCTGACATGTGGCATTACTAAGAGCTGACATGTGTCATTACTTATGTGGTTTTTTGTGCAACCCAATTTATGAACTAAATAAAAAGAAAAGAAAATTATTTTTATTTAGCCATTTCTAACATCTAATATGTCACATAATTTTTCATATGGAAAATATAAATTAAAAGTTTGGTAAGAAATATTTGATTAAATATAAATATGGGGAAAAAATTCCTTTTTATAATAATATTCTTTCTAAATTCTATATTTTTTCTCTTTATTTATAAAAAAGTTTTAGAATAAAATATAAAATACTCTCTTCACCTATAAATAAATTTTATAACTATTTATTAAACCTTTACTGGAGATTAGTTTTATATATAAATTTATATAAATATTGACACCTAATAAATAAATTTCTTTCTTCACCAATAAATAACTTTAATATTTATTATAATTGATTTTATGATTTGACAGCTAATTGTCTAATATGCCACTTAATTAAAAATATAAAAAAATGTGAAATCAATATTTTGGTATGAAATCTTTGAATAAATTTAAGTATGCAAATGAAACATTCGTTTTAATGATAATAACCTTTCCCAATTCAAAAATTTTTACTCTCTTCTTTTATAATAAAATTTTCAACCAATAGATAAGATAGTTTTTTAATGTTGATGTTTTATTTGGTACATATGATTTTTTAAAATGTTGTAGCAAAAAAAATTAAAATTTCGTTTCACCCGTGCATGGCACGGGTTAAAATATTAGTAAGAGTTAAAATATATTTACATTATCAATTATGATAATGTATATTACCAAAAAGTATAGTAAAATGTTTATGTTTATTGTCATATTGTCATAGTGTGAATTCATATTTAGGAAAAAAAATACGGAACTCCTATTTTACTATTTTCTCTATGTTTTATTTATATTTAGGGTAATTTTTCTAATAAATACATCTAGACTTTGTTTCAAAGGAGTGTTTCCACTCAATGTTACTCCGTAATATTTTGATTAATTTTTTAATTGTGGTGATTATTTTTAAAAATGTCAAAATTAAATATCGTTTTTTGATAGCCAACTCTTGAGTTGAAGTACCAAACTTTGAAGCATTTCTTAGAATCCACAAATTTCTAAGAAAAATACTATTTCTGTGTTGGAAATCATGTATTCAGTTTATCCTACATCAGAAAATCAAATACTCCGTACTTCATAAATTTTATTCTCACACAAAGAAACGTAAAATAATATCCATTGAGTTAAGCTTTTGGATAGAAAATATATTTAAAGTTTATATGAAAAATTGGTCAAATCTCATCAGACATTCATCTCATACAAATTTCAATATTGTATTTCAAGTTCGATTTGCATTGGTGCACAAAGTAATTACTTCGTACTTTAAAAAAGCTAAAGACGGTACAGTCAAATAGTCTTTTCAAAAGCTATTCTCTAATCCTATTCGAGGGCCAGATTTATGGTGTGCAAATGGTTAGCTAGGACTCCTAGGAGGCTTTTTTCTCCGCATTTGTTTTCTGGGATTAGGGTTTATGGAACAACGAACGATTGCTGAATCTACGAGCTTCCCAACTGTTTTCTTCTTCTAACTTCGAAACGCGCCTATAATCTCATATCACCTTCATCGCTTTCCACATTCATCGATACGTACACCCGAAATGGTCGAGAGAAAGGTATACAAAACGAAGCTATGCGTGCTGTATCAGAAGGGCCACTGCCACCGCCATAGCTGCAACTTTGCTCACGGCGATGCTGAGCGGCGCCGATTCTCCGGTCCGTTAGAAGGTAATAGTTATTTCTTGTTGTGTTGTTTTCAATCACTTGCTTTTGTTTTTTTTAGAATTATCTAGTGTTCGAAATGTGCCCTTTACATAGCTACTGAGATGAGAACGAATGCTTCGAGCAGAGTTCATCCGTGTTTCATGTTCCCCTTCACGTCGTGTGGTGCTTGTTCACTGCCATGATTGGTCTATCTGATTTGGGTTGGATACCTAAAGGTTCCGAGACGATCTTCAGTTTTCTTTCAGTATGCGCGTTTAGTTGGCTTAAATGCTCAGTTTTCCCTTGTCATTTTTGTTTGTTTCCTATTATGTTGCTAAAAGCTAAAACACTTAAAGTTGAAGTATTGGTGTAAATGTAGAGATTGAAGAAATTAGCAGTGTTGCAGTGAAAGAGACAAAAATTGCTCAATGTTTTGTAAAAAAAACATTCATTTCTTCAATTGACTTATTGATAACCAATCTCCACTTTCAAACTACTAGTATATCTGTTGGGGTAACTCGATGGTTTTGGTCCCAGTACATGGCATCTCGATGAATTTAGTATTGGGTTTTGTACCTAGTCGATCAAAGTTATACAATAGTTTGGTTTCTTATTACATCATAGTGTATTTTTTCATCATTACCATTGACCATAAAGAAGATAACTGATTTCAATTACAAGTCCATAACCACCAACAAAAAAATACGGTAAAAAACAATGTGAAGATAAATTGTTTTGATTATTTTCCTTGCCAAGTTCTATGTCTATTTTAAGTTTCTAACTTTCCACAATCTATCTAGTGGAAAGCTAAAAAAGCTATTGGTTCAGGTGTATCCAGTATGATGCAGTATTTGTGGACTGCAATCATTTTTACTTATGAATTGGATATTGGCATATTATTGAGTTTGGATTGTAAGTATTTCAGGTTTCCATAGTAAATTGAGGCTATGTATGCGACATCAGTAACTGCAGAATAACTGATGGCTTAGTATATTTATTCGAGAGGATTTTGCTGCTTGGTTTATCATTTATGATTCTTGTGGTATGTTTCTTGGGTTCTTGGTTAATGATGAATCTAGGAGATGCAGTGCACACAAGAGCAGATTTAGGTTTCTATGGGCATAATCGCTCCCATGTGTATTTCTCAATGGCCAGCTTGATGTACTGTTCAAATGCTATATCCTAAAAAATCACTATTTGCATATTCTTCCAGAATTTCCGATTTCCTTGTGACTCATCTCTGAGTGATATTGCAACGGGAATCTCTTCATGGATCTTTTAGTCTCAGGAGGCCAATATATTTTCTTTATTACATTTTCTTTGTAATGGATGCAAGAAGAGAGACATATGGATTAACAACAATTACTTATTCAGCAATGGCAGAAGGAAGTCTATCGTATTTTATCAGTTACTCCTACAGTATTTGAAGGGCTCTTTGAAAGAAGAAAACCTTAAATAATGGGTCATCTATGTCTATGTATTACTTGAGAATTGAGAGCCTAGTCTCTTCAGCATCTTTGCTATTTCTGAGAAGGCACTCTAATTTCATTATTATGTTACTCATGTATTTCATTTTAATGGTAAGCTGTGCTTTATAGTTGAATTATTGCTCGTTTCCTGTTTGTTGGGGTTTACTGTACTAATATTATAAAGTTCCATTATCTATGTTGCTTGATGTCTGGAACATACTTTTGCATCGTCATTTCAGGTAGGCGAGACTATCGGGGACGTGATCTTAGAGAAAAGCTTAATAGGAGATATTCTCCACCACGTAGATACCCTCTTAGACGAGATATAAGTGGACGACATGCATCCCGTGGTCAGGATATTCACTATTCTTATTTTGCATTGATATTAATCCATTTTTTGGTTGTGGGGAACTTTTTTCTTCTCTGAATGTGCTCTTTATTGTACAATTACTGATAAAACTCGCTATATGATATCAAATCCATCATCATTTAATGATGCCAGGAAAGAAATATCAAATATTTTTCATTGACAATCAATGCATAACTATGGCATGTGAATTTCTTATTTCATATCTGATATTTGCATTTATTAATTAATTAATTTATGTATTTACTCTTTTCTCCAAATCAACTTGACACTTTGACTTCGCCGAGTTTAACAAAAATGTTAAAAGTGAAAAGTGTTTTGTGAAACATGAAAAGTGTGTGGTTGAAATTTATCTGAAAGAGAGAGAGATGGAGAGAGAGAAATAAAGTTGTCAACATACTTATTTTCTTAAAGAGAAAGTGGAAAAGCGTGACTTTGACTTTTAGATATTGAAAGTGTAAAGTTGATTCGGAGATGGAGCGAGTATTTATATACTCCCTCCGTCCCAAAAAGAATGGGACGGTTTGACTTTTTGGGAAATTAAGGGAGGGATATTTTGGTATTGAATTTCCAAAAATACCCTTGATGTGATGGGTAAAAGTAGGATGTGATGGGTAGATTATTAAAAAAAAGGTATGATGTGATAGGTAGGGTATGAAAAAGTAAGGGGTAAAAGTGGTTTTTTAATAGAAATGTAACGGACTTTACGGGACGCAGTTTTTTCTAAACGTAACAAACTTTTTGGGACGGAGGGAGTATGATATTCAAGAGGCCATTGTTTTTTTATTATGTATGTTTTATTCTAAAAATTGTAACTGTGGATTTCTTAGGTGACAGTCCATCGGGATCTCTGGAGAAGAGGTAATTTCCCACAAAAATATTTTTTCCAGTAAAAAGTTGAATCCACCTGTGATATTTTATCTATCAAACTTGGATTTGATATTTGTGAATTCATTGAACAAGTGAATATCATGTTGTTTCATTATGTGCTAAAATTTCTTTTTGTTAGAGACAAATAGTTGTTGACTTTCATAGTTGTAATTTGGCTGGAAACTGGAAAGCCCACTCCCCATCTGATGAATGTTACAACTTATGCTCTCTACTTTAGTGCTTTTTTTTTGGGGTGTAATTTGATATCCTTAATGATACAATGTCTATCTTTTTTCTTTGCATTACATAGATATATACACCCTCTTTAGTAGGAACTTGCTTTTTTCCATCATCTCCGATGGAGCCAAAAATTTACTATTTTTTGGCGTTGGGGTGATGGAATAAAGCAAAATGGATCTCTAAACTTTCTGCGCTTCTTTAATTAATGAAGTAGCAGTTAGTCAGTCAATGCAACTTTTGACGCTGAGCCGGGGTTCTCTTTGGCAGCAGCCTAGGGGTGAGGTCTACGTACACACACCCTCTCCACACACCCTCTCCAGACCCTTCTCTTGTGGGATTGAACTTGGTTGTTGTTGTTATTAGGAACTTGAGAACATTGCATTGAAACTCTCATTTAATATACATATATTCAAGTATTCAACTGTCCATGTGGTTCTTTCACTCATTAGCATTACCTTCAAATGAGTCAATTGTACTTGTCAAATGTTTAAAACTACGAACTTAAATATTGGGAGTTGCACAATCAATGTAAATTGTCTGATTGCTCATTTCCTTGTTTGCGAGCTCAGTACCAAGGGAAGTGTAAAAAGTTTTTATTGACTACAAATACTTGAAAATATCTGATTTTGAAGTATTGTCTAGATTGTACCATAAACGCGCATCAAAATTTTGAAAAGACATTCTTCCATGGTTGTCTGTGCCACACATAACTCTATGTGTAGATTATGCACTCAAAAAGATTAAATTGGTTATACCCCAAGCCTTTTCTAAAACCAGTTCTATCTGAATACATAGCATAATTGTTTTTCTTCATATTGCTTATTAGTAGAAAAATCTCCATGTAGTGATAGAAGGCGCCGAAAGAGGCAGCAACCAGATGGCCAGAGTGACTTATCTGAAAGTCTGCAAACATCAAATGAGACCCAATATCGCTTGAAAGAGAAGTGCGTCTCTTATGATTCCAAGCACACTCTTAAGGTGAATTTATTGGACAGTGTTTTTCTAAGCTGATCTTGGCATCTTTAGTTTTTAAAACTATGGTATTTTGGTTCAAGTTCAGTTTATGTTATTGTATGCCATGAATTTCACTTTTTCCCAAATGCTTTGATATTGTGACTCTGGGATTTGTAGGGGTGTAAAATTAGAAATGTACCTGAACCAAATGGTCTGTAGTGTCAAATCCACACCCCACATCCCCCCTCTCTTGTATGTTATATGTTTTTTTTATGCTTATGACAAAATATAAATCTTAATTTTGTAGATAAGGCAGTTGCAATCTGAAATCAAGAAGCTCGATGACCGCAAAAAAGGATTAGAGGTTAGTTTTGATCATTTTAATTTTGTGTAAGTATATGATTAAAATAGTGTTTAAAATTTTGTCCCTGTTCTCTAGTATGCTCTCTCTCTATCTCTATCTCAATATTGAAAAAGAAGAAATGTTTGTCGGAGTAATTTCAAAGTGCTAAGGGAGTGCCACTTAAACACGTCTAAGTCTACAATTGCACTTACAAGTATCACAGTATTCAGAGTGAACTTGTAACCTTGCAAAGAAAAACATCTTCAAGAGTCTTGAGCGCATCAAGCCACCTTTCGCCCTACAAGACACCATCTATCCCTTCTTAGAAGACCTGGAGGAATAAAACATTGGAGGTTTAATTTCTTCATAGGCTACTTAATTTTACTAAAGGGTACTGGGATGTTCAAGGAATCAAGGGTACTAGTTAGGGTACTAATTAATGGTTCATCAAGTGTGATGCCGTACTAAATATGGTGGCATACTTATTGGCGTGGCTCTTAGAGCTTCCTTTCCTATTATTGTGTTTGTGCATTAATTGTGGTGTGTTACCAAGTAACTGATTGGGTTTGTCTTCCAATCAAATCCGTTTGTTTGAGCTTGTAAATTTGCTTGGGCCTTCGTGCTTTTCGGGATCTGATGAATTTAGGATACATAATCTGAACACAAACTACTATAAAAGACTTTATCCTAAATTTCTAATTACTCCCCGTGTCCCAAAATAATCTTCCCACATTTCTTTTTGGACATCCCAGAATGATATTCCCATTTTTTGGCATTCAATTTCACTTCTTTTTAATAAAAAATATATTCTTGCTTTCAACAACTTAAATGTTTACTACCTTCTACTTCACCTTCACCATACCCTAAAAAGTAGGTAGCTCATTTAGATAATTTTCCATACAGTGTTAGTATGTGCACCATTTTCACATGACAAGATCCATTGAGGATAGATCCAAAGGAAGTTTATTATATCATTGTTATGTGTTTATTTCTTGACATTTAATGAGCGAAATATATTTAGAGTCTTAAGAGCAAAATGGTCTGAAACTCTGAATTTAAAACTTGCATAGGTAATGCTCTTTAAATACTTAGTTACTTATCGATAATGTTTTTGATCGTTGTAAGGTCTACCTGGAAGATAGAACTCTAGAGGCAGAAAAACTGGCCTTGAAAGTTGAAGAGCTTGAAGTGCAGTTGTTCAAAGAAAAAGATGAATGTAAAAGGTAACTACTTGAGCTTGTAGAGGTTTTGCCTTTCTTGTCCTACATTTAGCATATTCTTGCAGATGATCTGTATCTTTAACACAGTTTTCATGGTCTCTTCGATTTCAAGGATATCATCCAGGATAAAGAAGTTCATTGAAGCACATAAGCACCTCTCTCGTTTACATGATGAAGTTAAGAGGTATCCTTTAATTTTAGAAACTTTTCTTTTTCCCTGACGCCTTTATTTTTTTATTTGTTAGATTATGGCTGGCCCAAGTATTTTCTTCTTTAAGATCCTGTAATAAAGATTTAACAGAAGTTCTATCAACCTTTAGGTCAGATGCTCAACTTCGAAAACTTGGTGAAAAACTTTTCTCAAGTGCTAGTGCAAGCGGGGATGATTTAAGCATGAACATAGTAACTGATGGAGAAGCTGTTGGTTGCCCCATCATCTATGGAGAGATGAGAAAGAACATGTCTCCACGTAAGAAAAGGTCACGAATGAACCCAGTAGATGGGGATGTACCAGGTCAAGGTAGGCATGAGAGTGCATGATAATTTACTATTGTTACTTCTATCAGTGGTTATGAGGATAGCATTCTTTGGGTCTACTGTGTTATAAAGAGTTTTTTTCTCAATTATATATCTTAAAAATCAGTTTGCCAGTTTGCCTGTATATGCATTCTAGTATGTTGCAGTTTTTTTTTAATTCTTAAATTCATCTTAAAGAGATAAGTCATGCTTTATAGATTTAGAGCAATGTCTTCCTCATCACAACCTCACTCTGCTCTTTTTTTCCTCACATTTATGAAGAGTACTACATTGTTTTTGTAAATATTTTCTCTGATCCAGCTTTCACATCTGTCCAAGTCATCATTCTATTATAACTTCTAGTGGTCTTTGTACTGGTAAATGCTAAGGTCCACACAATTTTGTGTAGACCTACAGATGAGGGTAAAAAGCAAATTCTTACTAACTTGATGATTTTTTTTTTTGCAAAAAACAAAATTAAAAATATAAAAAATGTTTTGATGTGAGAAGGTCCACATAAACTGGTGTGGACCTTAGAATCACCAAAGAGGCACTCCTTCGTTCTTATTATAAATTGGTGACTGTAGTCATAGCATTCAAATTATGTTGATGTCATTGATCCCATCTTGCGTGTATTCTGAAACACTCTGTCTATTTGCTTTGATTAATTAACATTTTACTGACTAATTTCTACTCTGCATAAAAGAAATCATTTTTGTAAATTTGAGTAGACTAGATGTTCCAATTTGCAGAATTTAATAATAATTTTCTCTGCACATCCCGGATTTCAAAAAGTAGATGTTTTTGTCTTTTTGTTTTTGATTGGACATTGGAGTTAGCAGGATAAGATGTTTATAAGTTGTTTCCATAATTCTCCCACTTATGCTTCTCTCTCATTGGTCTTCTGCTATATAAATATGATTTATGCTCTATGCTATAGGTAATCCATCAGAAGGAGCGTATGCAGAAATGATAAGCTTGGAAAATAATCATTCTCGAAGAAATGTGCTTCAGGTTCAATCTAGTAATGACAAAAAAGAGAAGGCAGATATCATTAGAACAAGCGGTTTTCAGGATGCTGAAGGTGAAGACAGGCCTGTAAGAGGGGAAGATTGTTCTACCAACACTGCATTGGTGGAAAAGGTGCTTCATATCCTTTATCTTCCCATTACCTTACACCTTTGGCTTACAGTTTTTATCCCCAAAAAAGAAATGGAACATAATAAGGATTGTAGTGGGGGCATACAGTTTCATTAAATTTGCATGTTATCTTTAAGCTTTTATGAAGTCCGTTCTCTCGTAACATTGGTGAATTATTGCTGTTGTCGGTGTTACTACATCTGCAACAAGCCCAGTAGAAACTCACTAAGAGCATGTTGTGGTCTGGTCTGGTCTAGTCTGATTCTAATAAGAATAAGTAATAAGTAATAAGTCGGGAAGAATATACCCTAACTGGGGTCCGGAGAGGGTGAGTGTATGCAAATCTTACCCCTTCCGGGAAAGTGGAGAGATTGTTTCAAAGTTTTTTTTTTATTGTTATTATTACAATTATTATTATTTTATTATTATTATTATTATTATTATTATTATTATTACTAGTGATGTAAAGAGTATATGCTCCTTGAAATTATGCAGCCCAAGGGAATTTTTGAGGTGTTGCCTTCAACAGGCATGGCAGCTCATGCAGAGGACGAAGATGTTGAAGTTGTTGAAATAGAGGAAAAACACGAGATGTATGAGAATGCTTCTGTAGCAGTAGCTGGAGAAGCTGTTTTTGATGTCAAAAAGTTTACTTCTCTACCACCTCTGCCACCACTTCCAATCTATAAAGATTCTTATTCACAGGTCAGCTGATAATTATGTGAACGAGACTAACCCTTAGGCAAAAACCAATTTGAACCTTGTCTGATATATACTCCCTGTCCCAAAAATTTTTCCACTTTCACTTTTCATTCGTCTCAAAAAATAGTTCCACTTTCAATTAAAATCACTTATTTGCCCCTACTAATTATTAACCTACGTATAGAGCAAGGGCAAGTTGGAAAATAACACTCAAATTACACATTATTTAAGTCTAATCTTTTTTCAGAGTGAAAAGTTTTATGGGACGGAGGTAGTATATTATGTCTTGGAAAAGTGACATGAAAAAAAATTGGAAAAGAGACGATGAAAAAACACTATTGGAAAAGCGAATCGTTGCATGCAGTATTATCTAAGTACATGGGCGTGAAGATATCAAAATATGTAGTACATGTCTATTTTAGGGGGTGCTTGCTAAAATTTAAGGCCATAAGGGTATGGGAATCGGATTGGGTGTCATGGTGGATAAGAATAAGAATGGAAACACTTTGAATTCCTACCTGTGCAAAAGCCCCCAACAGACTACCGTCACCACGGTGTTGGCTTGTGCATACGTTCCCCTCCCCCACATCCCAAACACCGACCTAGTTGAGATACTATTGTTCAATTGATGAAAACTTGAACTCCAGACAACAAACAACCATTAGGTTAGCATATCTTATTTTGAAGGTGGTAATTGAGTGAAAGGTTATATTGGTACAGAGGGAGTATCAATTTTAGTAATTTCTATGATCCTTCCTTCTAGAAATATTCCTTTGGCCTTTCATTACAGAAAAGCCACTTTAGTACAGGCCTTTTGTCATGCACTAAATTTTTCATTTTTGTTTTCTGTGCTTATTATTATGCTCTTATGCTTCATGTTAGGAGAAACCGATTAACAAATTCACTTTTTTGCAGTTGAAGGGCCAAGACGAGAATGTGGACATAGATGGTGTTGATGAAGAGACGACAGAAGTGGATATCGTTTGAACATGTACTGCCTTAACTATGATACTTCTAGCTTTAGTATGGTAGATTTTACCCTATACATCTTTTTTTTGTGCATCACCATATTTTTATGCATTTCCTGGAAAGGTGAAGAAAGAATTTATGCATCATTATTTGTGTGCATCTGCTTTCTCAAGTTATGTGATCCATGTTCATGTGTTTTTGTTGATAACTTGGTTTCCTTCAAAATTGGTTCCCATTTTTTTCACGGTTTGATTCCTCGGATGACCTGCCTGAATGATTCCAATTCTATGGACAGGCTGACACCCAGGTTTTCAGCCCGGTTGGTCGGGTTTTTATTGCATATTGTGAGTCTTTTCATACTATATAGAACGGGTTTAAGGTTTTTGAGAAGCGTTTTAGTAATACTATTTTGATGGTGTTTTGGAGTGGTGACTTTTTACAAAAAGTAAAAGTGCTAAGTGAGAAGCAGTCATTTCTATTTTTGTTGAAGCCATAATTCATAATCTAATGTAGATGGCTAAACAACCAAAAATGTACTCCGGGGTGTTTTGGTAAAGCTGGACCCCAAAAGCTGTTTTTTTTTAAATACGTTCATTAATTCCCTCTTTGTATTTTGCCTTGACATAATAAAATGATCACTTTTAACGTCAAAATCCAAATAGAGGTTGGTACCTGCTTAAATTTTTGTTGTTTGGAGTGTATTTTACGACCCTTCACAATTTTATTATTGTATTTTTTCGCTTTTCTGTTCAGGGGATAAATGGGAAACCATGTATTTTATTCAAAAATTAAGCATTTAAGCAATTTTATTTGCAAACTCAAGTTATTGGAGTAGAATATTATGCTCAAACATATATAAACGATATCTGCTTTTATTTTCATCTTAAGTAATGATTTATTTATCTCATAAATAAAAGTAAAACCAGAAGTCTAATTTTTTTAAAAAGAATTCTTTGTAATTTGAAAGTGAGTATTTTTGACCGTATAGATTGGACGTCTTTGAATATGAAGCTTTTTGTGCTCACTCGTGAATCTTGAGCAAGAAGAGGCAAGTAAAGAAGGATGAAATGTTGTCACTACTTTTTTGGAGCATCCCAAAATTAAATTAATGGTTCATACCTCTTCTCCTCTAACTCTCTCTAACACCCTACTCCTACCACTCTAAATTGATCATTCATAGCCCCTCTAGCTATCTCTGTTTTATAAAATGTTTCAAAAATAAAAAAAAGCTTGCCTTAAAAGTAGGTTATTTTGATATTATTTTTTAATTATGATTCATCTATTCTATACCTTATATCTTATTTTATTACAAAGTAAGGGTAAAATTAAAAAATAATTTCAAAGTGGCATTTTTAGGGCATGCATTTTTCCTTCTTTTTTGAAATGATTTATAAGAGAGAGGTAGTAATAAAACTAAGTTGAGACATGTATTTATCTGCCTCTTTATCAATATTCCACACTTTCACTAGTGGTCAAAACTACTTAAAACCCATTTTTAATTTATAAGTTCGCCCTGATTCTGTAGCCACAGATTTTCAGTAGCTTCGGAAGTCACTGAATAAATTGGGACTCTTACAGTCTTCCATTCCCAAAATTGATAATTCCTATTTTCTCTAATCTCGACACTCCCCACTCAGTCTTGACCCCAACCCACCCCTCCAATAACGTCAATATATATTTTATTTAATTATATGTCAAATGTTGAAAATAATTGATTAAAAAAAGATCAAAACTAAACAAATATTCAAGGACATGAGATATTATATTTTTTTCCCCTAAAAAATTTTACCAAACGTGCCGTAAGTTTTTCGCGGCGTGCGGCTGATACGGACCCACTCCACTCGCTTTCTGTAACTCGCGTGAGTCAGCGCGTTTCTTCTGCCTCACCTCTCCTTCCCTCCCTCTAGCCCAATCTAAGATCTTTCGCTTTCATTTCCCTTCTCGAGGAGCTCCACGTCAGACTCCCGTCCGCCGGCGCAATGGATTCCAGTCCTCTGGCGTCTTCAGGCATCGATGACTTTGTTCACGTGGAAGGAGGCGGAGCGCTGGCGGATTCCAATTTTCAGCCTCGAGGCTCGGAGGAGAGCGCCGCGGCGGAGACCTCCGACGCGGATGCCGTGAACGTGGAAGATGAGTCCCGAGGCTATGTGAGGAAGGTACTCCCGGAGGAGCTGTCCAAGAGCGTGGTGATGCTCAATTGCGAGTCATCCGCTGAAGGCGGCAATTGCGATGTGTATCTGCTCGGCACTGCTCATGTGTCTGCGGTAAATTCTATACTAATATTTTTTTTGTTCCTGGTTTTGATTTTGAACTTATTAAATATTAACTGCTGATTCTAGAGAGATTAATTCGGTCTTTTCATGTTTAGCATGGAAAATGTGAATCAGAGATTATACATTGCTTACCTCTGTGTATATCAGCGCTCACCATGGCATAGGTTCTTCCGTTCTTGTTTTGTGACACATTGAGAAGAAATTAATAATTTTGGTATGATTTTCATGTGAAAATGTGGAATCTTTCTACAGTGGTGAAGAAATTAATGATTTCGGTATATTTTCTGATGAAAATTTCTGCATTCGTCATTCTCATAAACTAGATCACTTTAAAACCATAGATTTCTTAAAGGGTGGTTTTAATATCACAAGCTTGGCATCATCGGTGATATATTATTATCTCCCCTTGTTCTTGGCTAATGTCAGATATTTTTAGCACTTCAGCAATTTTGGAGTTCATACAAGTTTAAAGTTTTATGAGTTGCAAAAGTTTGTTGGTGAATGCTTTTATGCAATATAATTCAATGAAATAAACAAACACTTCACTTCAAAGTAGTTTGGGTAATGACTAGTGATATGTTGGATGGAGAACGAGAGGTTCAGTGGTAGATTTTCTGTTAGTTCATGTAGTTGACCCCATGGAACTAGGATTAAGGCTTGGTTGTTGTTGTTGCTAGATTTATTATTTAAAAGGAATTATTTTATTGGCTTATATTTGTTTCTCCTTTTAAAATAAAGCAAACAACACAATTTTATTTTCTTAATAATTATGTAATGTTAAAGTGGGAAGATAATTTTGGGATGGGAAAAAATGTAATTTTTGTGTAAAAAATGTAATTTTTGTGTCCTTGATTACAAGCAAAAAAATAAAAACTGCAAGTTACTTGAAAAGTCATCATATTACTTAGTAGAAGCTGTTTGGTACCATTTAAATTTCAGCTCCCATTTGTTATACACTGATAAGTGTTTGGATTAATGTATTAGACATAATGGAATGATATTAGCTTTTATATCTAAGTTCCTTCTTTTTTGTCATAGAGGTCAATCTTTTGCGTTATACTGCAGTATATATTTATTTGATATGCAACTGACTGAAGTTCTTGTATATATGGAGGAATCTTGCCGAGAAGTCCAAGATGCAATTAATTTCTTAAAACCACAGGTATTGTTTCCTTGGCACCCAAAAACATTTTTTTCGTCTATCTGAAGGGAAGATGGCTATATTAGATGTTGTATTTAATCCTCCTTAGCTTTTCTCTGTATCAAAACTGATATGAATGATTAAATGCAGGTTGTCTTTTTGGAGTTATGTTCAAGTCGTGTTGCTATACTTACCCCACGCGATTTGAAGGTTTGTTCTCACATCTTTAACACATATCTTTGTTGTACTTTGTAGCTCGATATGTCTAACACGAGATTAGGATTGCAACATGTGCTAGGCATAGAAGTTACATGTGTGATCTATGTGTATTATTACTCCCTCTATCTCAAAATTATCATCTTTCTTTCCTATTTGGGTTGTCTCAAAGTTTTCTTTCTCTTTCCTTTTAAGGAAACAAATATGTGGTTCATATCAATTGTTAAAAATGATTTAGATAATGCATACTAATATTTATTAATAAATTAAATAAAAAACTAAATATTTTAATTAAGAATATAATTTTATCAATATGTTATAGAGTAAAAAGTTTAGAATGTATAACAATCTGTATGAAGCACGAGATTTAAAATAGATTAGAAAGTAGCGGGGTGAAATTAGTATGTGGGGTGACTTTAGTGTTTTGGTGGGGTGTGGCTAATGGCTATCACCACCCTTAATTTAACCTGGCATTCTGCCCATTGTTCTCGGCCCACCGGAATTTTAACAAGATATTCAATATTTTGGCACCTAGTTGCATTTTTCTATTGAAATTTTATATGCCATGCAGTTCTCCATGGAAAGAAGGTAAGATGAGGAAGCTTTGATATCCCTCATTTGGTTTACCCTGTTTGACCAGAAATAGCTTTGCCTTTGTATGTGTGCAGTGTATTAGACCCTTGTGTTTGTGTGCCTGATATTTGTTTCTTGTGTATCCGTATAGAATTTTGAGGTTCCTCATATTAGATGGGCCCTATTTACTGTATCTTTTTGTTTCCTTCTATTCCGACCTTTGAATGTGCATGCACTGATAGATGTTGCACTTGCTTCTTCCAGATACCAACAATGAGAGAAATGGTAGACATGTGGAAGAAACAACATAACTTGTTTGCAATTCTATATAGCTGGTTTCTTGCAAAGGCATGATGACCACCTGAGTTGCACTGTCTAATTTTTCAACTTATGTTGCTCATATCTTTTGTTATCACAGCCCTTGGTAAAACTCTATATTACTGGTAGGTTGCTAGCAAGCTTGATGTTTTACCTGGGGCTGAGTTCCGTGTTGCATATGAAGAAGCAATGAAGTATGGTGGCAAGGTGATTCTTGGTGACCGTCCTATCGAGGTTAGTCACTACTTATTTTCTCATTAGTCGTTATATATTGTATCATTTCCTTTTATTTGGATTTTGTTGAAATATACAGAGTAGTCTGTAAGGCCCCGTTCCGTTCAACTTATTTTTTCTGCTTTTTTCTTAATCTTATTAAAATCAGATCAGATCAGATCTAATCAGATCAGAACCAATCAGATCAGATCAGATCAGATCCAATCAGATCAGATCTAATCAGATCAGATCCAATCAGATCAGATCAGACCAGATCAGATCCAAATAAGAATTATTATTATTATTATTATTATTATTATTANTTATTACTCCTTACTTTTTAAATTCCATATTTTTTAGTTGTTTCACTTGATACGGTTCTTTTAAAAAATAAATTTAATTCTATTTAAAAAATATAAGAAGAAAGAACATGAAACTTTTTGTGTGATTATAATTTATGTAGACTAAAATAAATGATATGAAGC